GGGGGGGGGGTTCGCATTTGCATCGTCCATCCAATCCCCGAATTCCCCCATGGTCTACAAGTACAGCCTCCGCTTCATTCTTGGAACCTCACTACCTACCCTGGAAACGCCCAGGGAACCAATTCTGCTCATATCCTGCGACTGGACGACATCAATATCACGTCCCAGTTCAACAAAAGTTTCCATTGGACATCGATTCACACCTTCACCCTTTGCTCTGCTCTTTCCATCTTCTCACGCCTCCCTTTCGCTTTCTTTTGAATTGCTCTTGCTATATAATGTCCCCTCTGAGCGCTCTCCATCATTGTCACATACGCAGCCTTCCTCGCCCTTTCTACCTTGTCACACTATTATCTTCCCTGAACCCTGAACCCTAAAACGTCTCTCTCGGTCATGACTTGATGTACATTTATTATACCCAATTTCCTATAGGATCATTGACTGATACCGTTTCATTATACCTTATTCATACGTCCAATGTTCTCAAGGGTGCTTTCTCTTTTCTTACCTTGGTGGAACAGCAAGCCCCGAATCACTCAACTGCTACAAATATGACCGAGTCATCTGAAAGCTCCTCTGAAAGAAAGCTCTTCCAATTGTTGAAACACTTGGCACCGGCTTAATGAGATTCTGCGGGTGTTATAGATCGTTGCTTACCCTAGTCCTTCAAGGTACGGTGGACACCTTGGTCTAGCGGTTTGATAGCTTGCAGTGTATTTCTTATCCCTCAAACCGCTTTCCTTGGTGTTTGCCTGCCTTCCATATCACCTGGACCCGGCGTGCCGTTCTGATCGCCGGTCAATTCAGGGGATGACTTTTTTATTTCTCTCAACCTGGAGTGAAGTTTTGGCTACAATCTTTGTATTGCTACACCTTTTCCATCCTCGCAACATACAATCGCTCTTCCTTATTTCCAAAGCAATGTGTTGAGACGGTCACACGGCCTTGCTACCTTAATATCTTGTTTGCCAGGCCTCTCATAGCTATTTAGGTGGCTTCCTGTTTGGCGTGAGAGAACTAATCCTTCTTCTCCTCTGTTTTCTCCATAGTAGTCAGGACCCAATGCTCAACCACTACTTTCTTTTTTATCGAGTCTCTGTCTGTGTAATATTTGGAATTAGCCAGCGGATAAGATTAATTATATGCATACAACTCAAGATGTGGATCTTGTGGATCCATATCCCGCAGGCATACCAGGTTCCACCTGGATACCTAACGCCAGGAACGGGCACGACTTGATAGTTAATGGTTCATACATGTAGTACATAGAGTGTCTCTCAACAATCAACCCGACATCCAGCCTTCCACGGAACCTCCTCGGCCCTCACGACAGTCTCCAACCCACCAGCCAACTCCCCAGCACCTCCAACTCCAAGCTCGTCCCCCTCCACATCCTCCCCCCACGGTAAGGCATCAACATCAACCTCCCACCCCAGCAAACACCGCAGTATAACCCCAGCACCAGCCTTACTCATAACAACATTCATTTCCTTACATCTCTCATCACAAACACACTCCACACATCCCTGCGGCGAAAGACAAGAACAAGCCTCGATACGCGCAACCGCCCGCCGAAGAAGCAACCCAATAAACTCAAACGCCTTGCTAGCGATCCCAGAACCACATGACCCACCTTTTGCATCGTAGAAGGTAAGTCGAGCAGGTCTCTGCCGCGAAGGCGGTTTAAGCTTCTCCTCGAACTCAATGGGCACGTTGGCACGGCGCAGCGGCCTGCCTAGCTCTTTCTTCGCGACTTTGCATTCTGTGCGAACGTCACCGGGCGAAGAGACGACAAAGGAGGGTAGGAGGGAGAGCACGGCATGTTCAGCGGCGTGAATGGCCGCGGCTATGTTTAGCCGGTGCGATTGTAGGATGTCGATAGCTCGTGTTGGGACATCGAGCCACATACCCTTGGTAAGGCGGTCGATAGGCGGGTTATCAACGGCGACGGCATCTAGGACGCGGCCGCGTTTATCGATTTTAAAAAAGCCGTAGACTACGGCGTGGATTTGGATTGCGCCGAAGAAGGCACGTGAGGCGGAGGGGTCATTGCTGACTAGTCGCATTGCTTCGGTTTCGACGGGGTCGATGTCGGTGAAGTCGCGTTGCATGGTATTCCAGTCGACTTGAACACGGACAACGCGCGCTAGGAAGGATTCGGTGTTTAGTTCTTTGACGAGATAGGTTGTGCCTTGGTGAAGGAAGATCCCGCCTTCGTAGATTGTGAAGAAGGCGCGCGAGGCTTCGACTTCCTCTAGGACTATGTTGCGGTTGTTGGTTGTGTCTATCACGGCGAAGTGTTGGTCTTCGGTGTCGCGGATTGAGACGCTGCGGGAGGGCTGTGGGCGGAAGCGCGGGTGGCAGTGGTAAAAGCCGAGTGGATCTTTAGTGAGGCGGGTTGGGGCCAGGGCAAGGAGCTGTTGTCCGAAGTAGATGCTGTCTTCTTCGGGGCGGATAGGCATTTCAAATGCAGCACATTGGACGTGGCCTTCGAGTATAAGTTCGTTGGATAGATCGATCTGTAGCTCGCAATTTGGCCGTGTGAATATTTCATCAGGATTCTGCATGTAGTGTTGGTCGGTTGGGTATCTGTCCCCGACTAGAACGGATAGGGAGTCCTTATTACGTCGTCCAGCGCGGCCGCTTTGTTGTCGTAGATTGGAGATCGAGTATGGGAACCCCATGGTGATCACTGCATCCAGGGATCCAATATCAACGCCCAGTTCCAGGGCGTTGGTAGCCACGATTCCCATCAATTTTCCCTCGAACATTTCCTTTTCGATTTGACGTCGATCTTGAGGGCTATAACCGCCTCGGTAGCCCATTACTAGGTTACCGATCTCTGTTCGTTCGAGTCTATCAAACTCGGCGCGCACGCCTTGTAAGAGAATCTCACATAGCTTCCTAATTCGACAGAAGGCAATAACTCTCACGCCCCTGAGGATCAGCTGGCAAAACAGCCTTGCAGTCTCAGTGACAGTGTCAGCGCGCCCAGAGGAAGGATCTTTGGGATCTTTGAATGGCGTATTCCAGCAAACAAACTCCTTGCGACCAGAGGGAGATCCATCGAAATCGACGAGTTTCACATCCTGCACCCCAAAGACAGACTTCATGTGATCCTCCGGGTTTGCAACAGTGGCAGAGCAAGATATGAACTTGACATGACTATTACCCACCGCAGCACAGATCCTGCGGAGGCGTCGCATGATAAAAGCGACATGAGACCCAAACAGGCCGTTGTAGACGTGCAGTTCGTCAACAACGACGAACTTCAGATTCTTCAAAAAGGTGCGCCATGAACTCTCCTGTGGTAAAATTGTGATATGAAGCATGTCGGGATTGGTAAAAATAATCCGCGCCTCATCACGGATCAAGTTCCGACTCCCCATTGACGTGTCCCCATCGAAGGTTTCAACCATTGTATGTTGCAGCCCGTTCATATATTGAAGTAGATCCATCATGCTGCGGCGCTGATCTTGTGCCAGAGCTTTAGTGGGGAAGATATACATCCCCCTGCTCTCCGGGTCTTTTTCTAGCTCGTGCAGCATGGGGACTTGATAGATAAGGGATTTTCCCGAGCTCGTCGACGTCGACACAATCACATTATGGCCGTCGTATAGGTGGTTGATTGCCTCTGTTTGATGAGCATACATTTGGGTGATTCCTTTTGTGTTATACAGAGCATTGACAAGGTCCTGCGAGAGCTGGAATGTCAAATCTCCGTAGACAGGAGACTGGGCTTCGAATACTCGATGACCTTCCGGCACAATCTGTGCATGATACCAATCCATCTCCCGAATCTCTACAATGATTTCCTCAATGGACTTTCGCTCCTTGGGGATTGTTGCTGGCGGCTTCGCCGCAAGAGGGGTATTTGTCCCGCTGCTTGGAGGGGTGGGTAGGAACGCATTCTTTTCTTGTTCAAGAACATTCACTGGATCAGTGTTTTTGTCCTCACATTGAACCAAAAATGCATTTAGAGCATCTGAAAACTTGGCATTTCGTTTTTCAATCAAGCCCAGCATCTGCTTTTGGCTGTAGACGGGCATTTTCAGATCATCGTCTTTCATGCGACGTATAGGTTTCATAGGTTCCCCAGTCTTCGGGTTCATTACTTCCCGCTTCAGATCACCATCCATAAACTCAAATAGCAGAACTTGCTTTGTGTCGTCTAGATCGTCACTTCTGGCGTCTTCGGCTGTGTCCATGTCTGCCGCAAATGCGAGACTAGATCGCTTATGTAACCCATACTGAGTTATCTCTTCATCTCCAGCAGTCATTACTTCCAACTTGGCCTCGTCCACATATTCGAACCGGACCGCTCCGGGGACTATGACTTTCACGCGTGCCACATCCTCAACAGTGAGTTCCCGCCCTTGACCAAGTTGAGCTTGGACTGCCTTTTTAATGTTGTCAAATGTGGTGGCAAAGTGCTTTCGCGTGCAGCAAAACGTATAAACGAGATTCAAGGCGCGATGGGTTTGCGAGAGGCGCTTAAAGGCATCTGGCAATGGCGCAGATGGAGTTCGCTTCGCGGGCTTCGACGGCTTTGAGGTCGTTTTTTTCCCTTTACCCTTTTTTTTAGCAGCTGTAGGTTTGGTAGAGCCGCCTATCTGTACATTGGGTTCATTGGGGGAAGGATCGGCCGTGGTCGAGGGTGTTTGATCGGCAGCGTCTTGGGGCGACGCGTTTAAAGGTGGAGGCACATTGGGCTCGAAGCCGCGATCGCATTCATGGCCTCGTTTCCGTTTTAGCGATGAGGCTTGCAGTGGTATTGACAAGGAGCCCGTCATGTCGAAGCTCCATAGTGCTCTATGTTGCAGTTGAAATCGATAAAGTCCAAGTTGACGGGAAACGCGAAGTCACGTGCGCCAATATCACCTAAAATGGCCATTGGTTCCATGGTTCCAAAGCTGGTCAATGCTTGCCTAGGTCCTCTATACTATAACCTTAAATCCTTGTTCAATTGGTTATTACTAGCCTGCATTGAAGGGTTTGGCGGAATTGAAGTTGTTAGCAAAGGCTGATATGCCACTGTGCTGTCGGCACCCGAGTGGTGAGTGCTGGGGCCGTGTATGAAGACCTATAGGACTCAGGGTTCAAAACTCCGTTTGTAGGTGAGAATTGATGCCTGAATGCCTTGTTTAGCACCGCCTTTTACACCGCTCTATAGTTACAGTGTATGGTAAATTTATTAATACTACTCACTCCGTACAACCGTCAAAAATGAAGCTTTTGGCCCTACACAAATGAATCTATCTTCATATAAGAATAGTCGGCCGCATTTGCGGCCTTGTGATGTCTTTTTAGATGGTCTTCTGAGATGGTATTTTGAGATGTGTTTTTAGGATAATTGTTCGAGATATCAAAAGCTTCATTTTTGGACTTAAACGCGACCAGAATCAGTGTACTTTGATTATGAAGATATGTCTAATAGCAATTCAGGTATCTTAAATCTTCTGCCGTTCTAAAGTCAGGCATTCAGGCACTAAACCACCTACAAAAGGGGGTTTGAACCCTGAGTCTCATCAGTCTTCGTAGGCCGTGTAAGTTGTACATGTATATCGTCCATCATGTTCGTCGTAGTTAATACTCCGAGGTATATCTACGTTTTAACCACACATATTTGACGACTTCGCCCATAGGAGTCTCCATTAATCGGTGGATTTTCCTTAGGCCATTTTGCGTTTTATGTACAGCAGTACTTTCTAGTCCCTGTAGCCCGTGGTCCAATCTTTCCAATTACAGCTGGTAGGGCCGGGTTGCAGCTACCTTCTAGCTCATCTCCCAGAAAAATTATCTTTTCATATCCTCGCGGTACTTCTCCACCTGTCCTTCTACTTCAAATTTCACCTGTGAATAATTAGTGATAAAGCCTTTTGATTTAGAATCCTTGGAACACGTACGAGGTATCCATTCTCCGTCGGAGACTCGCAGCCAATACAACGCGCTTGGCCAACGTATTCCACCTTATTGAAGTTGTGGATCATGTACTTCATGATTATATTACACCCGTGGCATATGAATGTGTAATCTTCTCGGTGGACTAGTCTTGGTGCAAATGGGAATTCCATATCGCGTTGTTCGAGGACATGTTGAAGGACGTACTGAAGGACGTATTGAAGGACGTATTGAAGGACGTATTGAAGGACGTATTGAAGGACGTATTGAAGGACGTGTTTGAGTGAGTGGTAGAATGATTAGTGCGGTGAAATATAGTAGACATATCAAATAAATTATGTATGTATGCGCCCCCTGTATTTAGCGACGTATGACTCCTCTATGTATAACGAGGAATCTTTAATTTATCTTTGACATATTTTCGTATTTTTAGTCTATATGGTGCAAAACGTCTTTAACCAGAAGGTCGCGCAAGCCCGCTCTCAGGCCAGTTCTGCCTCAATCAAACTCTCCGCAACGCCCGGATATGTGTAGATATTGACCACCTTCAATCCAACTTGGGCAAGTATGTCTCTCCAATCAGCCTCTGTTCTTTCTCTCACAGCAAAATGCGCTAACATCATCATATCCATATTAGTCGCAGCAAGTGTAGGTTTTGCTTCACTAATCACAATCTCGTTGAACAGGACCCGTGAATAACCCTTCTTTAAAGCCGGAACAAGATTCTCCAGGATCTTGACGCCATCTTCATCACTCCAATCGTGGAGAATAGAATGAAGAGAGTATGCGCGGGCATCCTTGATAGGCTGTGGCGTAAAAAAGTCGTGAGCTTGCGCTTCAAAAGCTCGCTCCATACCATTGGCCACCACACCAGCGATGACAGGTTCTCGGTCCTGGAGCACAATCCTACCCGAGCAAGGGCTATTCTGCGCAGCAAAGGTAGCCACATCATGACCATTTCCACCACCAACGTCGAAGAGAAGAACATCGCTAATAGAAGCATCGAAGCCCGTAGTTAATCGCTCAGTCACAGGGTAGAACTCATGCCAATTTGGCTTACCCACGCGGTAAGCACTCATAAAAGAGCCAAAATGATGGAGATGCGGTGGTGTCGCGACAAGCCATTCAAAGAACGGGAGGTTGGTTTTATGCGCCTCTTGAAACGGGCCGTCAGTTCCACCAAGAGTAGGAGAATTATATTCTGACTTCTTGAAATATTCCGGAAACCCATTAAATGAAGGGCGTGCGACATCATAGCAGAAGCTGATGCTGTGTTGATAGTTCTCTGCTGTGAGGCTGTTGCTTAGCTTTGTGGCGTATAACGCTCCGTCGTGGAATGACACGAGGTTCATTGCCACAAGATGTCTCGTTAGACGTTGTAGGAGAGTACTGTCAATCTGGGTCTTCTGGGAAAATACTGACGGGGTGAGTCCCGCATCTCCCGCTTCCTTGAGGTATTGGAAAAGCTTAACATCGACGGCGAGACGGATAATAGCACTTTGAGCTGGCTATCGTAGATCTCTCATTAGCATTGTAAGCAAACTAAGCTTTCAACGATGTTGTATTTTCTCACCTCTGCCCAGAAGGTGCGCTGAACGAACTCGCTTGGGATTTCCAAAGCTGAAATCAGCGCGCGGCTTTGATCAATCAGAATTTCTCTTGACGCGGCTTCATTATTGTCCAATGCCACGCGTGAATTGGCAATTCCATCCAGAATTGCAGAGACAGATGGGGAAGCCATGAGGATATTTGGTGTTGAGTAGGTGACAATTGATCTCAAGTACGGAGTACGAAGGGTATCAAATGTCCCTTGAACAGAGAATTGTGCATGCTGGAGGACCTACTTGCCCCTCTCCCCATTGTTGCCCATTCTTTCCAGGGTTAGTCTTGTGCTAGTTGGAGGCTAAGGAGACGGATGAAATTATCGCTCACCCGGGGACCCTCTAAGTGCCGCCTTTAACCAACCAAGTTCTAGACATACCTTAGCGTTATTACAAAGTACTAAGAGGGCGGAGCATGAACTAAGAGACGCTATGAGCCGACCGTTTAGCTCGCTAAGCGTGACAGGTTTCACATCCATGTAGATTTAATTTGAGAAAATTACCCTACGTACGCTGTACGGAGAAAACAGTTGAACCGTGCCTAAATTACCTAAAGCTTAGCAGCTTGTGCCAATTTGTTCACAGCGAGGAAGTCCCCATCCAATCCAAGGCCGCGGGTTTATCCACCATTTCCCTTCTATTCTTTAACACGTATCGCCCTTCGGGTGTGCTAACATATAGATATCTATTTGATGACTATACAATATACAATATACCTAGGTAGGCACAACGGAGGCAGAGATAATAGGGGTACGCACTGTCACCTGGAGCCTTTACCTACGGTGGAGTACGGGGTACTTAGACCCCACTTACAATAGGGTGCACATGTACGGAGTAGGTACGGAGTATTTACCAAGGTTATACAGAGTATTTGGGGAATGAATGCGCATATACCCTCAAGACCATTTCTAGATCACCAACGGTGATGGATAAAATCGAAATATAACTTTCTCGGTATAGTAATCTCCCTTGCTGATCTATTAATGTCGAGTAAACTTGAAATATTCGAAGTGATGAAGTGGTGCTTTCCTAATAGCTCGCCTCCCGATAGTTAATTGATCACTGTCGCTCATGGGCCCATATTTGTACATGGATTTTTATGACATGAATAAGCTGCGATTGACCTCGGAACCTAGGGGTTCATCGGAAATACCAGTCGATACACACACAAACAAACCTGCTAGTACTTAATAACCAGTACAGTTTACTCCGTACATGTAGGCACATCAATTTACATGGATTCTTTCAAATTTAGGCGTCTTGGAACTTGTTTGCTGCGCTGAATTGCTTCCAGCTACCTTTTACTCTTAAAATGCGCTGTTTGAGGCTCTCTTCTCGACCAATTCCTCTCGGATATATAATATGGACTAAAATCCTTGACCATGGCCTCCTTCGACACAGATTTTAATCATAATGAGAGTCGAGCGGCGGAGATCAATACTATTGGGTGGGCCTTCACAGGCGTTGCAATCGCAGCGGTTTCCTTAAAGCTGTTCGCCCGAATTGATAGCAAACGGTTTGACTGGGATGACTTTTTTATTTTCTTCTCACTGTTAAGGAAACCCTCAAAACCTCGCGAGGCATGACTAACACTGTGAACTATATAGGCTCTCAGCATCATTGCTACAGCATTCGTGTCATATTCAGTTACCCTTGGTCTGGGCCGGCACACTGCAACTGTAGTTGCTGAACATGGCATTAAGAGATACGAACAAGCAGCCTACTGGCAGATTATGGGATTTTACTTTCAATATAGGTGTGTCTTACCTATTTTCAATGGAGTAAATCGGGTACTAAAACTGATATATGTAGGAGCGTTTAGCTTCCCCAATATCTCGATTGCAATCTTGATCGTTCATCTGCTTGACCCCAACCCACTTCGTGCACGACTATTGTATGCCATGGTCGCTTTACAGGTCATATTGGCCATGATCTCCGTTTTTATTGTCTTTTTTCAGTGCAAACCCACAGCAAGACTATGGAACTCTTCCATTGAGGGCACATGTTGGAGCCCGGATATTTTCAATGACTTCTCCTATTTGGTCAGCGCATATACAACTATGACGGACATTGTTTTGGCTATTGTACCAATTTCTGCTTTTTGGAAACTACAAATGCCATTTTCAACAAGACTCAGTGTTTGCATTATGATGGGATTGACACTGCTTTCCGCGATCGTCACAATTGTTAAAGCAACATATTTAAAACTATTCACTGACCACACTGATCCTCGTTAGTGCACATCCCTCGATTTTTTACTTAGTTTAGCAGCTAATATTAGGCAGTTTTCAAGGTGGTGCCATTGGTTCTGTGGGGGCTGTAAGTATTACCCACGCCTGTTTACCAACTGCGCTAACCTCCAGCTTAGGATCGAGCAAAACGTTGTCATTGTCGCCGCTTGTATCCCGACACTCCGCCCCTTATTCCGCAAGGCATTCAAATCTAATACTAACTCTTCTGGTGAAGCCAGCTCACAAAGAGGAACTGAATCCGGCTTCAGGCTCTCATACAATTCCATACAATCTCGCTCTAAGCGGACACTGTCGGTAACGGAATTACCCCTCAAGGACATGAAGCCACAATCCATTGATGCCGAGAGCAGTAGTAGCCAGTCTGGCATATGGCGGAGGAGAGAGGTTATAGTGGAGAGCGATGACGATAGGTCTCTTGGAAGCGGCGTTGGAAAGCAAAATATGTAGGACAAACTCAATTGATTTCAAAGCCTATTACGTTTCCGACATCGTCTAGCGGAGACTATACTTGGAATATTAAAAGAGGACTTCCAGTAGGCTTTGTAGCTTGCTAACTAATAAAATTATGGCTACGATGGAAAATAGTCCTAATAAATCAAAGCACTGAATCTTATTCTTAATACGTACATCTATAGCTCTATTCTGTATAGTGGAATGGTCTCTTTCTTAGTGTGTTTACAGTAGAAACCTGCCACTCTCGAACAGATCGTTGGTTTTCTTGAGTGAAGGGTCCTCTCTTTCATAAGCTTAAGTCTACATTTTTTTTGTCTCCTCTATGCTCATTACGATGTCTCCTATGTCTGTCATGCTGTTATGAGCCAATACATTACAACTCCACAGGAAATTTTCGTGTTAATAGCCCGTCAACAAGCGTCTTTCAATGCCCTATCCTCGCGTTGTGGGGGAACGTCAGCGGATGAGATAATTCGCTCGTAAGCATCGACAAGTGATAAAGTGAGTAGCCCTTCTTATGGACCATATTGTCGAATTGATTGATCTCCCTATTTCTAGCAAGGAGGTTTATATTATATAGAACCGGATTTTATAGATTGAACATAATAGGAAGATGATATCCGATATCGAGGCACGTTGGAGTAAGATATATAATTCCCTTTCTAGCTATTTTACGTTATTTTACAACCCTTGGCTTTAGTGGGTAGGGCCTACCTTTTACCGGCCACTTTATTATTTGATCGCGATAACTATTATTTCTGCCATCAGAGAGTTTATAAGTATAGTTCGAACGTTTCACTAATAACGTATCTATGAGGATCGAGAAGTTCGTGGTAAATTCCGCGAATGGTTAAGACCTATCGGTCGACGGACTCGCGAGTCGCTTTCTCCACGTAAAAGGACGAAGCACATAGAATCCAACAGTTTGAACGCTCCTTCCACTATCAAACAACCAGACGCCTTGCACTTCTTACTGTTTTCTTAGCTCTAGGAGTTTTTATTCTAGCTTCTTGCTCTTACATATCGATAAATTCCAACTTCGAATTGGGGCGCTAGGTTTTGTTCAATCTCATACTGTAGTCTGACACGTTTGAATTATAATATGATAATGATGATGAATCTTCTCCTGTATCGACTATCACCACTCTAACAGACTAGCGACGTTACTCTGAATCTCCACGAAATCGGGCCACAAAGCGATAAATAGCAGTGATCATCGATCCATTAGTCGTTCGTCGATTTCTAATTCGTTGACCGTCAATCTTCGATTATCTTCTTATTACTGACCGTTCTAATCTAAAGGATCTAAATAGGACTTAAGAGGTTTCACGACCTCGGGAAACCCGCACCAGGGATATCTCATCAGTATTTCGATCTGAGTCTACTGCCTGGGACACCTTCAGGCTTAGGGGCCACTTGCCCCCTTCTGTGCTATCACCAAGTTGCGAAAATCCAGATCCAACTTTTACATGGTGCGGAGTATTGCCATACCTTGGACGAGGTAATTGTTTTGAAGTCGAATCAGTGGTGTGTTGGCGACGTAGGATTTTGGAAATCAAAGGCCAAACAGAAGGAAGGCAGGCAGCGATGATGATGATGCCACTTTCGAGAATTGTCCAAATCCCAAGCTTGACAGAAGTCCCTATTAACTTTAGCTGAGGTTGAAGCGTAGTGACTTTTGTAAAACGTACAGGTCGGATCGGCAAAGGCACTTTCTTGGAAAAAGATAGTCATGCGAAGAATACTTGCGACAGTTCCCCTATTAGCAGTATCAGAATCCCTCCAAACAGCAATACGTTCTGAATACTCACAAACTTCCCAACAGGAAGACGCCGGTCAAGGCCACTTTTTGGCCAATGTGAGTGTGAAGTCTCCAGACATATGGCAGCGGCATCACCAAGATCAAAACATCGGTTATGATATTAGGAGGCGAAACAAAACGGAAGAATGCCTGCTGGTTGAAGCATGAGCCTCCAACGATGGTTTTATCCCATGCGTATGCGATTGGCGAGCATTGGAAGATTGCAGCGAGCAAAACTCCAATTCCATGGCCTAGCACAACTGCACCCAAGATATAGGCAAATATACGAAACTTGCGGACGGGAAAGATGCGCACGTAGAAGAGGAGGATCGAGATCTTAGCGGGCGCTATGGTGAAAGGGAAATCGAGAATTTGATTTGCGTAGAGGCCCTAAATGACACCAGTCAGACATTTCTAACTGCCCTTCAAGTCGAATTATAACAAACCTTTTGCAAGATAACTAATTTTGATGGAGTTCGTGCTACATATTCGAGGTGATGGCCAACGCCGCCCCGCTTAGCCACTGCAGTGCTGATCAGTATCCGATCGCCAATATACAGGGCAAAGATGCCATACGGTATATGTAGAGTGCTGCCTGTGCTAAGCCAGCGATCTGTTGCAATGTAAGCACTGTACAACTCCATGGCTTTTGAACATCAGTGGTGATTCATTCATACCAAGGCTGGGATCATTAAATAGTCATCGATTCCATTTGCTACTCGCTGCATGTGTCTAGTGTAAAAGCGGGCCCCGACAACAATGATTTGTATGGAAGCAATAGCAATCGAGACACCAATAAGTTGCTGGCCGCAATATGCGACGGTGCTAGTATCTGCCATTGTTTATCACGCCTTCAACGCGTCAGTTGCGAGTGTTCAAGCCTTCGCATGACAATTACCATGTCTTTTTTTCGGGAGGAAACAGAGAATTCACACTTACCTAAGAGCAAGAGAAGAGGCATATGTAACTACCTATTAAATTACCTTGGCCAAAATAGTTAGGTTTGTCTCACTTTTGTTTTAACTAGCACTTGGCCCCCAAGTATGTAAGTGGGTCAACTAGCAGGTCTAGATTATTGTAGATCACAAGAACTGCGGACAGATCCCGCGATAACGAACACCTAGCATGTATTTGGGATGGGCGATCACCTACTCCGTATTTCGTTCCTACAAACTTTGTAGATCCTATCGGTGAAACCCAGCGTGGCCCTACCGAGCCTGAAACACGGTCACCTAAACTGGAACACCTAAACTGGAACACCGAAACTTCCACCATGTTACTTTGCAGGTTTAGGTTTTAGCTAACTTAGGCTGGATGATAACTAAAAGTACAATCTCTTGGCTACCATGTGATACTAATTTATAACTAGGGTGGATCTATTCTGTAAGCACGGTTCACACAAGGAGAACCCCCTAGGCCCATATTTGCCGGAGAGCCCGGTGCCCCTGTGTATATTTAGCGTTTATGTACTCCGTACTCCATACAACTTAAAGGCTCTAATATATCCTTTCGGAGAATTCTAGAATTTCTATGACACGGCAAGAAATTTCATTATGAGCCAAAATAAGGACATGTCTCTCTCGTCACAGATCGCTGCTTTGACCGGTAGCGTGCAGACCCAAGGCCTCGATGAGCAAGCACGCGCAGAAGCACTCAATGCTGCTCGGGGTTTATTAGCTGCCCTGGAGTCACCCATTGAGAGAGTTATTCAGGATGTAGTGATGGTATGTTGTTCGTCCAAGACTTCAAACTTCAAACCCTCCATTGCATTCCTTCAACGAGGCCTTCGAATATAGTAACTAATTTTGCATTTACAGCATTCCCCAGCATTGATGTCTATCCGTATGGGTGTTCAACTAGGCATTTTTACTCAGATCAGCCAAAACCCAGAATGCGGCGCTTCCTCTCCAGAGATTGCGGAGAAATCCGGTGCAAGCCTGATCCTTGTTGGTAAGGTTCGCCCATCGTTCACCAGAGGCATTTGTGTCAATGTCGGTGGTAGATATCTCTGCCACCTCCCTCCATTGATGAGAATATTACCATATTCAGCATGAATAATATAATTGTAATGGGCCACACGGAACTAATATAACGATTTCTCAAGACCAGATTACTCGCCTTCTCGCTGCGACAGGATATATCAAGCAAGATGGAGTACAACACTTCAAGCCCTCACCCCTTACCATGGTGATGGCAGACCCAATCATGGAAGCAACTACTCGAGCCTGGTCAGTACAGTGTTTTCATCTACACTTTTAGTCGGTTGAAGGTTTTATTGACCATACGTAGCTTTGAGATCGGCAACCTTTGCACCTCCAAAGCACCGGAATTCTTCCGCAAAAATAACAATCAATTCCCTAGCTCTGCCAAGGATACGCCTTTCCAATTAGGGTTCAACACCAATATGAACTATTTTGAGTGGCTGGGCCACAATCCTGATCTAGCCAAGGATTTCCAGCAATGGATGACACTGAAGCAGAAGACCACCCTCAACTGGTCTGACTGGTTTGACATTCAGCGACTAATCATTGATGGCTCTAACGGCAATCCTGAAGATGTCCTTATCGTTGACGTTGGAGGTGGCGAAGGGCATTATTTGCGGCAATTCCGAGAGAAATTCCCCGAGACACCTGGCCGATTGATCCTACAAGATCTGCCACAGGTCGTTTCGACCATTGAGAATCTCCCGGAGGGCATAGAGCTGACGCCGCACGACTTTTTCACCCCTCAGCCAGTCAAAGGTGTGTATGATGTTCAGATCGCATGATGCGCTTTGTGCTAATGAATATCAAATAGGTGCGCGGACATACTTCATGCACTGGATTCTTCATGACTGGTCAGACGAGCATTGCCGAGCCATTTTGGCCAATATTGTCGATGCCATGGAGCCCGGTTACTCTCGTTTAATTATCCACGAGTCCATTCTTCCGGACCTCAACTGTGATCTGCCATCTGCTTGCCTGAGCATCATGATGATGGTCCAGGTTGCTGCATTCGAACGGTCCGAGAAGCAGTGGCGGGATCTTCTTTCGTCCGTGGGACTAACGAATATCAAATTCCATCAGCCTCCTGGAAGCGGCGAGGGTATTGTTGAGGCTATTAAATGATTTGTGGAGTCAAGAGCTCTAGCAAACTGGAGTGGCCTGAGGCCAGTCAGTGGTGAAAGGGACATGGGTGGTTCCTTCCCGCTTGGCTACTTGAGGTGTATACAGAAGTGGGTGAGAAAACAAGAGGAGGGTTGAACAAAGGAAAGAGCGGAGGGACAAACAGAGAGAAGTGCAAGGAGGATAAAGAGGAACTTTCCTATATTGAACGAATGAGCCTATCCGAACGATTTTCAATGGCTGTACCCCTCTCATTTGACCCCAAGGTGATCTTATACTTTTATATTGAGTCATTGGAAAAGCTAGAAGACTTGATCCATGGATATACACTACTTTCAACTAGACTATAATAAGAGACGGCCAGAAATGACTCTAAGTGACGCCATTTCGGCCGCCCACCTGCCAACTTTCCTGTCACTCATCGTGACCTCTTCTCCCACTGTGACTTCAGCGCGATGCAGCGACTTTATTTACAGTCCAGGTCATAAGATTGAGGGCATCAAAGATGATCATCATCACCCAGCAACCACTGGACATGACGGTAAGATACTCGGCCTTGATCCTGGGACTGTCGGTGACCCGCTTGGAAAGTTTCCGCAAACATCAGACCCCGTTCATAGTGCTGAACCCCCATCATCCCCTGTGGGCCATCGAGGTCTTCATAGCCTTCTTGGGCGTCAAAGACCGCAGCGTATTGCAAGTCGGGCATGCCGATATGAATGGGAGTGGTAGGACGAGTATGGAAGCCTAGCTCACCATTCCAGGTCATGTTCTGGATCGCCAGCAACGTTCCATTCGTGATAATTAGATAGTCCCAATCTCCATTTGAGATCAAGACCCGATTGGTTGCCTCAATCAACCGAGGCAGTACATGCTCTGTGGGATTCGCGGACTCATCGTATTGTTGCTCGGGTCCTGGGTTGGCGCTAACAAAGACACTGTCAATGCTACAGAGCTCCCAGTCGATATTCTCGGGAACATGCAGAGCCTTCTTTACATCCGTGCGGTTGAAATAGGTTGCGGGACCCGGTTGATAGGCAAGGTCTGTCGGAAAGCCTAGGACATCCCATAAGAGAGGACATGTTTGGCTGATCTTATAAGGACTCCAACATGGGTTCGGAGTGAAAGCTTCGTTATAGATCATGTTGTAAATGTCGCACTCGGAGTAGTCCATTTCTTTGGGGGGCTGCACTCCAGAGGCCGGATAAGTGAAATACTCATCGAAATATTCCTTGTAGCCGCATTGTTCGTAGGTATCTTGCAGTTCCCCCATAAATGATTGGTTGAAGTTGAAAAGCTCGGCATGTTGTTGAACGAAGGGGTAAGCGGGAAGTACAGCCTGGATATAATCCCATTGGCCGATGCATGCATCATACATCAGAGCTCCTAATATGAATGAGAATGTGCGATCAATTTAATGCAGGTTCGGGGGAATTCAAAAGTCATACCGCTGACGTTGAAGTGTTCGGTATCGTTCTTGTCGAGCATGGCGGCGGATATGTAGGGCACGTACCGGCCCGCATAACTTTCACCAGTTAAGAAGATTCGAAAGTTCTTGATATCATATTCTTCTTGAAATTCTTGGAAAAAGTTCACGAAATCGGCAGCGACCTCCTCCTCGCCGGTAGCAGTCGGCGTACCGTTTGAGAACCCAACTCCAACCGGTTGGTCGACCCTAAACACCCCAGTCAGCTTATCAATTACATCCTCGGACCTGGGCACATATATCCTATCTCACTAATTGACATACCATAACATATTGGTCAAATTAACCCATGAGTACCCATTGATGACTGGTTCGTAGGTGCCGGGTTGCCAAGTAAATCGTCCGTTCTCCTGCAGAAATCCTTGCATTGAGCTACATCCCGGTCCACCATTCAGCCAAATTGTGAGATCGTTGCTTGGCTCCCCGATCTTGGGCTGGAATATGTAAAACAAGGAAGCATCTTCACGGACGGGCATGAATCCCGAGTACATTTCCCCCAATTCGAAATGAACATCTGGTAAGCTCTCCACCACATGAGCTGTGGAAAGATTACATTTGGTTAGTCGAAATCGAAGGGATGGACGGGAGTAAAGCACACATTTGGTCTTGTTGGTTAAAAATCGATAGTTTGATGTATCAATCGGTTCAGAACTACGAGTATAGTGGGTAAAATGTGTGGAAGGGCGTCGAGTCAGCTGTTTTGCTTTGCCGCCATTGGCGAGAAGCGCGATCGTCAGCACTGCCGCTGTGATAGATTGACCGAACATCTTAGCAGTTCCCGTATAGAGATCGCGTATATTCACAATGCAAAATCTCAATCGGCCCTAGTGGGCGGAGTCAAGGAGAGGCTACTCTTATACACCAACATGCCAGCTTCCCCTGTATTGGTATGAGAATCGCGGCCCTTGGTTTCTTTTTCCTAGTCCTGCAATAGGAGTCCACTTTCCAGGGGATCGGCAGTCCTACATACTACATATATTGTTCTATAGTCGAGCCAAGAATTTGCGTTCCGGGATTGATTTGCCATAGTTAAGAGCGCTAAGGCTACCTAATTACGTTAGGTCCCGCTTGATTTCACAAACTTTCTTTTCCATCGAACCTACCTGCCACGTGACTATCATAACCCTATCATTCTATTGGCTTAGCCATATTTCCCGCCTTTTTAGTCGGCATTCTGCCGGCTATAAACCTCCCGACGTTCCCAACCCCCGATTACATAATCGGAAATGACTCGCCTGTTGAGGAACCTCGTCAGTTCCGGAGGATTTACTCTCCGACGATCATTCGATTTCAATGGGGTTTGAGTGGATGTGCTCCGTACAGAGACATAAAATCTACTAATGGACCCGAAAGTGGGTTTATATTCCAGACCCCGGTATTTCTTCGGCAATTTACTGGGGTGATATGTGTATCTCAATGAAAAGGGAGCTAGGGATACTCTATGTTGTGTATAACTCTATGTGAACACTACCATTCTGTGCAGGACAAATTATAGAATGCGAAGATGGGCTTTATATCAGAACGGATAGATCATCCTTTGTGGAATCTTGGCAGTGGTTATTGGGTGGGGGGTGGTGGCTGAGTGTCTCACGTCTCCAGGGCTTAATGATAAATAATTAGAACTCTAACTTGAAATGTATGTTATACACGTATCAAAGCATTCTCAATCATAGAACAAATTTCAGGGTGATATGAGTCCACTATGTAGCCATTGAAGCTACATCTACTCCGTACATAAAGTAATTTTTGTCCAAGTATCACCTAGGTAGGGGGATGGCCACAGGCACGGATGGAGAAGTGGTGCCTTGTGTGTGGATATGCACTACGTTGCCTTGACCTAGTTATGCATTATTAATGCATTGGTAATCAATTATAAGGTTAAGCGGCATTTGATGAGTCTTTAATGGTATCTTAAAGTCTGATCTTACTCCGTACATATGTTGTAGTATATTGATGCGGTAGGTCCCTGATTATGCATAGAAATTCCTTGTACATTTTATGCTTTTCCCCGCCTTCACATACCTCTAAACAGAGATATAGGAAAGACATTCTAAAAAGACCACCCAAAAAAGACACCACAAGACCGCATGAGCAGCCGACTATTCTTTTATGTACTGAATGTGCATCTTTTGTTATACAAGTGATGACATACAGGACTAGTAGTATGTAATGCAATGAGGCAACCCATGCTCCATAAAATTTTGGCAGAGATAGTGCTCTTCCTAGCATATTTAGAAGCCCAATTTTAATAAGCAAAAATAGAAAAGAAAAGATAAGAAATCATACTGATCTAAGTATATTCCCCACAGATGCAATGATCCTGCCTCTGATACCGAATGTTTTATAACATACCTTGGCAATCTCGACAGTTTTGCCCTATATTTAACATCTGCGTGTCATCAAAAACATCGTCTTGACCGCACTCAAAGTCAGAGTCAGTCCAAACAAATTCTGTCTTGAGAAGTCATTTCGAGACTGCTGAGCTGGTCTTGAGACTGAACAGGCTGTATCGCATTAATGTTGGAATTTGGCGCCAGTAGTATCCTCATCGCTTGAGGTTGTTTTGATGCAGTCATCAAAATCTCGTGCCTTCGGGAAACATATGGTCTATGAGACCCTCCGGACAAGCGTCCAAAACATGGTAAATAATTATTAGTTCCAGCCTCCCCTACACGACAGAATGCAATGACTATGGCGTGATAGGGGCGCGCCGTTTGATGCGAGGAATTTCACCACTCTTCTATTGGAGTGCTTCACAGCAATGTCGAGTGCGGACTCCCCGTTGTGAGAAAAAAAGATCGATAGTAGGGTCCAGTAGTATCTTAGGATATAACGCTACACCGGAGCTAGTGGAGGAGATGGAGAGTATAACCTGTTTGGCCTCTACGGCGCTATATTCTCTATTGGGATCCTATTAGAATTAGTTGTTTGGGGAAATTCAGGGACTCTTGTTGCTATTCGATGGTGTTAGAATTTCGGGTCTCTCTGAGCTCAAATGCTTTAGGTCTCCCTCTGCTGCTACCTAGCCCAGAGGTGACCATATCTCCGGACCCCCCTCCCTAGTCAGGCAGCAACCCCAAAATTCATTCAATTTGATCCCTGGCAGCTCTGGAACTTTCCAGTCAGGGTCTATGCCAGCATCCAGCGTGAACTGTATAGCCTTGGTGTCAATGCATTTGATTGCACTTCCAAAGGGACTTTCTGCAATTGCTCCAGCTGGCATTTCATGTTTCCTATATAGTAAATTGCGCAAGCTTGCAATATTGTCGAGTCCAGACATGCCAAAATTCTTCAACATGAATTCCTCTTTGACATAGGGGTCTATGTCCTGCATAGAAATTTTGTTAGACAAAAGATAGAGAGCTATTTGAATAAACTCCTGTAGCTTCAAGTCACTGCTGCTGGAAAGCTCCCGGGAGGTAGCAGCGTGCCAACCATCGTATTCCTATGGCATTACAATGCTCGGCGTGGCAGCCGTTTGGGGACAACCTTGTAAAAGAGTTTGACTCTACTGTGTAGCCCATGCAACCATTGAGCCTAAACTGGAAAGCGAATCCTTCTCGACATAGTGACTAGGACGAGTCATGACCAGAGAAGCGGAAGGATCTATCTCTGATTGGGAAATAAAATTTTCTAGAAATGATAAGTATTTGGTGGATAATAATATAGATGGGTATTAAGTATGCTCACCTTTGGTGTTGTATGGGGAAGCAGACTGAGAACTTGAACCCGGGGGAAATTTTTAGGCCATTGTAGCTGCAACGCAGGCAGTGCAGAGGAGTAGATCAAACCACCTTCTGGCATTTTAGGAGAATCCCCTGTGTCGCATTAGAAGACTGAGAACCCACTTCGCGAATTGCGTTTCATACTGGCTCTTGCTATATAGGGTTATTTAAGGCAAGTGCATCAAGGTGATAGGAATTTATATGTATACCTTATGCAAACCCCATGTACCGCTCCCATGGTTTGGACCGCCTCCTTCAGCGATTTGTCTTGGTGGATATAGAGGCGCTCGACTTCAGCCCTATGGGTCTCCTAATCTAGGTTCGCCATGATTGTTCGCCGATCGTTCTGAAAGAATATAAAATATTCCTGATTCAATATCGGTGGAAAGGTATGCAGAAGACTAAAATTCCTTATTCAGCAAGTAGAAATTATAGTAGATTCAACCCTCTGAAAGATTGATCTGGCCAAACGCGGAGTTGTGTATGAACGAACCGTTCGGTCGAGACCGAACTCCAAATGCGCCACACTAATTGCACCCTATGTTATTCTGGGCTGCTCATTCGACGATGACAGTACTCGTATTGTGATTGGAGAAGAACCAAATCCGACTGCATAATTCTCCACTTGGAATAAGTGATCGATGACCATGTGGAGGTGTACTATTTCACGATGATTGGCTTTATCCCAAATCCGATGCATGATCTCTCCTCAAACACATCCGCGGCTACTGTCAGAACCTCATTCACAAAGGCCTGGATCTAAATAACCTGACCTGCTGGCTTTGGGTGCAAGATGGGCGAATTCATATTGTCGAATCTGTTACCCCTTCAGATATTTAATCCCATTCATCCCCCGAGGGAAATAAGTCCTAAACCTCAACCTTCACCCCATCAATATTTCCTTCAAGCAATTCCACGTTGAACATTTTCATACAGTTTCAAAGTGTCGAAACCTCATGATGCCATGGCCTTCAGATGAACCCGTATCAGACAATCCCTTCCTCTTCAATGAGCGATGCTGGGAAACTGGGCATCTCGGTGATGTCAACGAGAGCCCTTTTCCGCACTCGCAATACTCCTTTCCCGCTACCAACCAGAACATGCTTCATTCAACCCAAGGCCAAGCAGAAGGGACCAGGAATGACACGTTCACCTCCCAATATTCTATCGCAGGGATCATTGAAACGACTAGCCAGCCCATGGGCTACATCACCCCTTTGCTTGGGCAACCCACGTCTCTTTCTGGACTGCATGCTCATACCATGCAAAGCCCACCACAGCGCATCCCAAATCGTGACACCCAGGTCAGAAAGAGACCTCGAGCCTGTCCTAAGGCTCACAAGGCGGAGTAAGTCTCGATCATGAACCATTTCGGACGCTTCCTTCGTTTTCTAACAATCCTTTTCTTCCAGGACGCCCACGGGGCCGTTTAAATGTGGATGGAATGGCTGTCTATCTACCAAATCGTTTGGTCGGTTAAATGTCCTTTGGCGCCATATCGAGACCCAGCATCTCTTGCCCGGTGCTTACAAGTGCCACCGAGAAGGGTGCGGTAAATCCTTTAATCGCAAGGATAACTTGGGAGAGCATGTTCTCCGAGTTCATGGGGAAAGAATAGAATGAGTGCAGACCGTGCTAGGTTTCTCCAGGGCTCACAGCGGTTTCGAAGTCTCGTGCCTCGAGGGCTGCTCAACAATTACCACCTCACAGGATTGGGTATGAATAGGGTTAGGCGAGAAGAAGGACACTCTTTATTAGCGAAGCAATGTTATTCTGAATATATAGACCATGAGGACATTGAGGTATAAATGACAATTAAAGCATCTTAGATCAAGGCCCATGATATATGGATAGTGCTAACATATGGGCAAAGGAATGTGTTAAGTCTACCTAAGTGCCTTGGTAATGGAAGAAGATTCAATATCCACACAACTGAGGTGTATTAAAAATCGCTAATGGGTGGTTTTTTTTGTTCTTTTCTGGGTTTTCTTTATTTACAAATGTATCTTCATGACTGATCAGCTCAAATCTGCTCCATAATATCCTTTAGTACATCAAACAGTTCACCGGACTGCTTCTCATTACCGAGCTGTATTATATCATTCAATGTTAGTACCATGTGCATCAAATCTGAGAATGAAAAGAATTTGGACACTTACCCGGAGAAGAAGGCTGACAACCTTCTCATCTTCCTTGCTGGCGAGATAAATATCCCGAGTGGCCGGACGAGAACCCTTGGAATCACCAACGGGCATAGTATGCCAAACCGCACTGTTCAACATAACACGCAAGGCACCATCGGCGCGCATGATAATGCGGCCAGATTTCTTTCCGTTGGACTCCGTCTTGAGGTTAACCTTGAAGGTGCCCGTACCACGCTCCTTCCATTTTTTATCGTCGAAGTAGTACAGCTTGCCCTTAGCTGCGAACTCGGTGCTCTCATTTTCTTCGCCGGTTTCAACTGGGTTTTCACGTCCGAATGAGCCACTGGCCATGTTTGGGATCCTGGGGAAAGGCAACAAGAAGGGGTCCATACCAGTTTGTGCGTGGAAACGCTCGTCGGTCTTCTCGGCAACAAAGGTGTCATCGGGTTCACCCACTGGCTCGTTGTCACTGTCCTCGTTGTCGGATTGTTTGGCACCGAGGGTCTTGTCACTGGATTCGCCAAAAGAAACGGGGGCATTGGGGGACGCGAAACTGGTCAGTTTACCAGTTGTTCCAGAGAAGCTGGTGGGGAGGTTGACAGATGCGAAACTGGTCAGTTTACCAGCTGTTCCAGAGAAAGCGGAGGGGGCATTTGGAGACGCGAAACTGGTGAGTTTACCAGATGGAGCAGGGAAAGCGCTGCCGAAGGCAGAGAAGCCGGATCCGAGGGCACCGAAACCAGAAGTCGAGGCACCGCTGGTTGCAAAAGGTGAAGCATCAGCAGTCGACTTAGTTGCAGGCATTGCGAAAGGCGAAGGTGCGTTGGCAGAAGCAGCCATTCCGAATGCACTCGTGGTGAAAGTCTATCAGAAGCAAGTGTTAGTGGAAGATGGAAAAATAAAAGAAAAGCTGGGGAAGTCGAGGCAGCAAACTCACCTGGTCGACCTTAGCCTTGCGCTCCTCCGAATTGTCGCGGGGTCTCTTCTTCTCGGGTTGTCCTTCGGCAATAGACTTTTCGTCCGAAGTTGTCTCAGTCAAGCCGGGCGCGGGGTCAGTCATAGTGTGGGAATTCTTCGAGGCATCATCTTCAAGTTGTTCTCGGCTCCGTTTCTTATTGAGGGTTTGTGAAGAATCATCCTCGTTTCCGCCGGCGGCCGTTTCGAGATTCTGTGGGGATTGAGAGTGGTTAGAATCAAAGACTTCAACCACCTTGGGTCTAGGGTAATCGGGGTTCGTTGGACTGTATGGGACAGGAGGCGGGGAGGACGGGTAATCAGGTGAGCAATAGTCAGGCAGGGAGTCTTCAGATGAAGAATCTCCAATTGACTCAGGCTCTTCATAGATGTGGAATTCAGGGTCATCCTGTATGTGGGATTCAAGTGAACGGTGCCCAGCAGAAGGCTGCCCAGATGAAGGCTGCCCAGATGAAGGCTGCCCAAGAGAAGGCTGCCCAGTGGAAGGGCGCGCAGTGGAAGGGTGCGTGGTAGAAGGGTGTCCAAGGGAAGAATGTCCAGGGGAAGAGTGTCCAGGGGAAGGGTTTCCAGGGGAAGGGTGTCCAGATAGAGGAATAGGCTTTGCAGAAGGAATGGTGATATGGATTTTGGATGATTCGCCTTCAGCGGATCTCGAAGTCTGGGAAGCCAAGGAGACCGCTCCGGCTGTCACCTTGAGACCAATCTCAACAGGAATGAACAAATGGCTAATTTGCTCATATTCACCAATTGAGACCTTGATCTCGAGGTCCAGGGGAAGCTGGACCTTGGTGACCTCGGGGATATGGCTCATGATCGTGTTGTGGAACAGTGTATTGTAAACTGAAGTGTTCGCGGGTGCTGCCAGCAGCACATCGTCACTCACATCTTGGGTAGTTGCATCTTTAGGGATTCCGGCGTGATTGGAATTGTCTTCCGTGGTGTTGGCCGGGGTGCACTCTCGGGATCGCTTGGTTGGGGGTGTGTCGGTGGCCCCATCTGTGTTGTCGAGGGAGCGCTTTCGGTTTGCACGGGCAGAGCCGTCTTTTTCACCCACAGAGTCAAGGTTAGTCTCCTTGAGTTGTTGTCGCACAGGGCGTTCGCCGCTGTCATTGTCGGAGGGAGGCGACTGCGCGGTTACTGTCAAGACGAATATTGTCAGATCACATGAACGTTGGAGAAAGCCCTGCGGCAGAAAGGGTATTGTAGATATAAAGGAAAGCTGCAGGGCGGAACAAAGACGAATCACTGGATTAAAGCGCACCTGTGTGATCCATTTTCAGTTGGTCTGTTTCCAGAACTTTGAAGTTGTCAGCGAAACTGCCCAACTATGTGGGGGATTTGAGGCTATGCGCCCAAGCAATGATGACATACCACCTGCCGAGTAATTCAGCTCACGGGAAGCAGAAACCATAGAGTCGCGTCCAAAGGACAAACTTGTCAAAGATATCGGGTGTTCTAGATACCCGGTCGAAATTGAGTTGAGCGGAGCTTCCAACGGGTCACGATAACCGCGGATAAACAGATCGGATCGATTGGGACCGGCCGAATCGACAAAGAAGGGAGAATTTCAAGTTTGCGAACTTTGCGAAGAGAAGACCAAGAGGATGGAAAGGTGGAAAGGTGAGAGAAGAAGGAAAAGATAGCTTGCCGGTCCTCTTATAAGTTGACCGCCGGGTGCGGGGCCCAACAAACGGGTTCTCTGAATAGCAAAATGTGAATGGGAATGGGAACAAAGCATATTCATCTAAATAAAACAATCGTCTATTGTTGCCTAGGTACCTCGGCAGATTCAATTTGCATAGATTCAATTCAAAGACTGGATATACCGGTATCCGCGCTATTCTAATACAATCCGATGTTGTTATTGAGATTCATTGCGCCGATGCCTATCAGAGGCATATGACGGCGCATTTTCTCAACTGCTGAGCATAATATCACAATAGAGAGCCTCAACTGATGAAGCAGAGACACCCGATCGCAATGTAGAACACAAACAGCGGGTACACTGCGATTCCGACTCGGTTCCGCACCACTCCCGAGCCTCCTAAGATGCTTACTCCAGCTGCTAAAGACCATGCGACTAGCACAAGATATACCGGTATCCGTGCAATGGTTGGAAGTCCCAGCGCACTCAGCATTGCGGCGATGACCAAGGGGAATAGCGTGTAACCGATAATGCAAATCGACTGGAAGAAAGAACTAACAGGCCGAGGCCGCAATGTTAGTAAACCGCGATATTGAGGGATGATTCAAATAACACTTACATCTTGCCACCAAGAAGCTTGATCTGAAGGGTCACAGCCGCTTCTCCGATCCATACAAGACAGAAGACACCCGAGAAAACCACTGATGATTGATCACCCTTTGCGACAGACAAGAACAAACTTAGGACCAGGCAAAAGACAAGCGGTCCCCTAGAGTAAACCCCGTGTTAGCTTTTATGCGGATTTTCCATGTGTAGGGTAACTTACCAGAGATCCCAGTCCCTTAAGCCCTCGCTCATACCACCCTGCAGGACCACGTCGGCATCCGGCCAGCGTCCAACGAGTCCCCGAATGTTACCACCAAATCCAGACACACCACCTTGCTCGGAATCAGCGGTGCCACTGCCTCCGCGCTGCATCATTCCTCCAAGCAAGTATTTCGGCCAAAGCACCTGGCGCATCTTCTCCCACACGGCAATCAAGTCGCGTGACAATGTGTCCCAAACACTCTCATCGATAGTATTTTGTGTCGCACGGCGATCTTCACCACCCATAGAAGATGCTAAGTAGTTGCCATATCCAGATGCATTGCCTCGGTTGGCCGAGCTGGATTCGATGTTGCCTCGCAGAGGGGCCGTGTCGGAGGTATCGCGCAGGGGGTCGTCAACGTCGACGGCTAGAATCACACTAGATTAGGATCCTGTCGATACGCTGGTATTCAATAAGGACAAAGAAAAGTACTCACCATCATCGGCCTCGATCAAATCATCACCAAGGAGAGAGTCGTCATCATGGGGCTCATCATGGGGGTGGCCGCGGTGGATAGTAGCCATGGTTCGCGTATGGTCGTGATGGTCGAAAGACTAGCGCAAAAAATGGCACCTCCTTTAATTTTAGTCCTCTCAGAGGCGTAGTCGACAATGAAGGTCAAGGTAATCGAGGAGTATGAAAGCGAGTTGGTCAAGCTGTCCCGGAAAGGCTAGAGTGGCATTACGTACTGGGTCACGGGTAATGTTACCAGGCACGTTTTGTTTCATCTTTCACTTCTACAATGCACGTCTTGCATGCATATTATGGGCTTTTTTTTTTTTTGAATCATTTCAAAGGTCTTCTATCTTCATAAATTGAATGATAATCATATATGTCATTAATTCGACAATCAGTTTTCCTTGGTACCGTCAACATAAGGCTCCTCCTCCTGATACACATCGTACTTGTACTTGCTTCCAATATGATCAGCCCTGAGCTCTTTCTGTCCCTTACCAAAGATCTTCTCACGGGCTGTGAGAGGTGGCTCTGAGGGGTCTGGAAGCTCAGGATAAAGCCCGCGTCGCCTTAGCTCTGGGATGAGTAGGTCAACCACCTCCTCAAAAGTGCCAGGCGTGGTGACATAGGCAAGATTGAACCCATCAAGGTCAGCCTCTCGGATCCAACGCTCCATCTCGTCGGCAACAGTAGCAGGGCTTCCAATAGCCACCGGGCCAAGACCACCAATCGCAGCCCTCTCGGCAACCACGCGAGGGGTCCAGCGCGGAATTTCCTTGCTAGTCGTGAGTAATGAGTCAAGCAAACTAGTGACTTTGTTTGCCTCCAACGAGTCTAAAGCTGTGATTTCTTGGTCCAGAGGTATTTTGGAAATGTCGATTCCCGTCCATCCGCTGAAAAGAACCAGTCCTCCAATCACCGAGGCGTACTTCTTCAACTCCTCGTACTTAGCCCATGCCTCCTCATCAGTCTTACCTACAATGGGCGTGAAGGTACTAAAGAATTTGATCGACTGTGGATCACGGCCTCGTTCTGCGGCTAGCTTGCGGATATTTGCAATCTTGGGCTGCAACACCGCTGGCGAATGGGAAGAGACAAAGATTGCCTCAGCGTGTGTCGAAGCAAATTCCGATCCTGCAGGTGAAGTCCCTGCCTGGAAAAGGAATGGGGTGCGCTGCGGAGACGGGTCGACGATGTGTCGAGTGCTCAATGAAAAGTACTTGCCCTTGTGGTTGATCTGGCGGACTTTCTCTGGATCTATGTATGTGTCTGCTTCAGGGTTGGGCGACAGGGCATCAGGAGCCCAGGAACCCTCCCAGAGTCTATACGTAACAACCATCAAGTCAGTCTTCAAAAGTATCACCCTAACCGAGCTGTGGGCATGCAACTCACTTATAGAGCACCTTCAAATACTCATCTGCCTGGCGGTACCGTTCATCATGCTCAATTGGAGTATCCACACCAATGGCTTTGAAAGCCGCTTTCTTATATGAGGTCACAATGTTCCAACCCAGTCGACCATTAGTCAAATGATCCAAGGTTGAAAAACGCTTAGCCAGCAAAAAGGGCTGCTCGAATGAAGTCGAGGCCGTGATGCCAAACGCCAAATTCTTCGTCACTGCAGCCATTGCCGAAATGGGCTATCCAGACAGTCAGACTCTGATCAGAATATTTGTGTTATTGGCACTCACGATAGTAGGGTCTGTCACAGGCCATTGCGCCGCACGTCGAATACACTCGTCCAGTTTGCCCTCATAGGTATCATGGCCTCCAGTTGTATCTGCCAGGAACAACGCGTTGATTCCACCGCGCTCCAACAGCTTCGCAAGCTCTATCCAGTACCCGAGTGTTCGCTTAGTCGCAGACTTGTCTTTGGGGTTCTGTGCAGCTGTCAGCGTTTTTGGCCCTTCAACTGCAATTGCAATACCAACCTTCCATTGCCCAGGAGATAGATGTCCCACGGTTGACATGTCAAAAGCATTGAGCAAGATTTGTTTCTTGCCAGTGCCGGCGGAGCCATTGTGGCTAGTAGCTGCAGTGTCTCCCATGATTGGCACTGCTTAATATAAATATGCTTCTTTTCTTTCTCGCGTTCGAGATTTCCTTGCGCAGATTGAAAAAAAGATCTAGCGACGGTCTATAAGAGTGACACAACCCCTCATATCCCAAATCAACAAAGCCCGGAAGGACGGCTTTACCAAGGTGTACTATCCCCGCACCATCCCACCTCGGAATTCGCCCATTGTATACGTATCTCGCGCCATCGAGAACGCGAAAGAGGGGATCGGCAACTTGCCGAGCCCTGATGAGTGAATTCTTAGAACTGCATATGGCGTGCCGTAGACCAAACATTCGCCATCATCCCCACAGTAATCACCACATTATCTTGCGGGTATCTTTAACCTCCGAACGCTAATTCCAGCACGGAGTATAAGCCATGACAATCTCTCGGACCATTTTTCTAGGCGCAACGTCAAGTTGCCGACAAGTATTAGCTCGTTATAGGGATGCATTTCATCATCCACTGTCAGATTGCGTGACGCTTTCCTTGTCAACAACCCAACTTCGCAGATCATTATATACTATACTCCTTTGAATCGATCTTTCGTATCTAAAACAGAGGGCACAAATGACAGGATAATAATAATGAACATAGATTTCCTATCGCTTGGCAGTTGATATAGCGGAGCATTTAGAAAAGCTCGGCAGTTTTACAGCAAAAAGGTCCATTGATAGTATAGTACCTACCATATTATTGGCTGGAGGATATAATCCAATAGCTTTGTATTTCTCTCTTGTTAGGAGGCCTGTGACACCAATGGGAGCAAATCGAAGTACAAGTATACATACTCCGAGATCTTATAAGTTCACAGCAACATCAAACGTTTTTGAAATCTTAATTATTGTTCATCTTAGAAGTAGAGAATGTACCAAATGGTATTATGTACATAATGCAAATATGCAACGCCATCTATAGCCCCCAATGTGTGATATACAAACATAATACAATCGAGACCTCACTCGGTCTCGTCGTGTCCAAAACCACGAATATGATCAAGCCCCAATCAGTGCTTCTCACGAGGACAAGCCCTCATGTTGATCCGAACCTTCTTGGTTCCGAGAGTTGCGAGCCTCCCACTGGAACTTTTTAATGCGTTCCCGGGCCTCCTCCTTCTGCTGAATCGTAGGGTATACCTTCTTCCTCTTGAAAGTCGCAATGACATCCTTGTCAGAATACTTCTTCAGCATCTTCGAATCAGCGTCAAGGGCCTTGCGCTCGGCCTTCGAAACATAAGATTTATAGTCAAGCTTAAGGGTGTCGTCAACCACGAGACGAACCCGCGACATGATCTTCACAGCCGCCGAACCCGCGACAGAATCCGAAAGTGTGTTCTGGATGGCGCTCCAGCGAGTCTTCGACTCGGGCTTGCCGTTCTCCATT